AACCTGAACAAGGCAGTTTGACTTTTCATACAGTTACGACCCTAAGACCTGAACAAGGCAGTTTGACTGTTCTTATAGTTACAACCATAAAACCTGAACAAGGCAGTTTGACTTTTCTTACAGATATAACCATAAAACCTGAACAAGGCAGTTTGACTTTTCATACAGTTACGACCCTAAGACCTGAACAAGGCAGTTTGACTTTTCATACAGTTACAACCATAAAACCTGAACAAGGCAGTTTGACTTTCATACAGTTACGACCCTAAGACCTGAACAAGGCAGTTTGACTTTTCATACAGTTACAACCATAAAACCTGAACAAGGCAGTTTAAAAAATCAGTGGCATTATTGATGAAGAATGTTTTTTTTTTTTTCAGAATAAAGTTTTAGTCTGAATATGTTGTGTTTCTGTGGTCAACAGTATTTAAAATCCGCCCCACACCACTTTGCACAAGGGTTAAGTTTGTGTCAATATTCTATACAAAGTATAATGTTTACTACATGTTCTAAACTTACAAAGATAACTTTGTATATTAACGTCTCCATCTTTACTGTCTCTTAGTGGGAAAGAGTCTTTGACTTGCAACACTAAAACCAGTGTGGCTTTTCTCTAAAACCTTTTTTTTTTTATTGTCTCTAGCTGTCACATTTTGGTTATATCTTTATAGCAGAGAATGAAAGATATCTTTTGAACTACTAATTGTAAATTTTAAAAATAATTCATTAGGCAAGATTCAGCTTTTGGTTTTATTATAATTATATTTTTACTTCACCAGTAATTTAAACAAATGTATATGTTGTTTCTCTTTCTTTTTTTTACAACAAGTATAATTAAAGTTTACTTTAGTTTTATTTAAATGTATCTTCTGTTATTTACTCTTCATATAATATGAACAAAATGCAAGAAGAACAATTCATCTCGTACCTGTTTTTGATAGTTTTATTTTTTTAAGCAACACGTACGGTAATGGGTGTGAATTTACATTAACCAAAACATTTAACATGGCCTAGTTTCAAAAGTCTTAATAAACTTGTCTCCTGTTTTTAAGAAACGAGAAGTGAGACCTCTTTGATGCATGTAGGTTTATAAAATATTTATTAGCGAAACACTTTATTGAGAAAATATTATTATATTTTTACTTTTAATATAACTATTTGGTAGCGCCATGATGAAAAACCTATTACCATAATAAACATTTTATTTTGGCCTATTGTATTTTACAATTGCTAGACGTCTACGTTCTTTATTATTATTATTTTCATCAAATTAACCTGTTATACGGCATAACAAAGATAAATACATATTATGCCGCCAGATGGCGGCACAAAAATGGAGGGCAACCAGTTAGTAGCATCTGCCTCTTACATTAAAATACAAAACGTATTTAACTTTCATATCATAGGATAGAATCGTTGATCTTTTGCTTTGAAGTCTGAAGCGCTAGACCACAGGTCTATTATTAAACAGGATGCTGATAAACAATACGAAAAAATGCTATTAATAAAAAACAACGTTCAACAAATGAAATTTACTAACATAGTTATTGAGATCCATATCGCACACAAATATATAGTTAGTATCAAATGTGTACACTTTTTATTCGATCACTGGTGTATTTTTTTACAACATAAATTTGTGTAATTACCAAGAACGTTTCTCTCTATAGATTGTTTTTTGTTGATAAGTCACTGTTGCAAAATATTAACCTATCTCGATTAATAAGTTGCTTATAGTATGTTAATGCAAACGAAAATATGCTGCGAATTGCGGGTTGATTATGTAACGTAAGTAACCAATATTCAAATGATACCAATTCAAAAAAGGAAGGGGAGTTATGTAGTAAATTAAACGACAATTATGTTGTCCTTTTGAAAAATCATTCAATTAATTGATCGCGGAATTGAAATATGTTCGCCCTTTCAGCCGTGGGGCATTATTACGTGACCGTTAGTTTTATTGTTTGTTAGCAATGTGTGGTGTTGACTAGCTGATTTTCTTCCGGTCTTTCACTTCAAAATTAGGAAGCTATCATAGGTGGCTCTCTAAATCCTCACCCTTTATTCAATATAACTAGATAAATATACTTTCCTTACGTTCTTCCTTTAAGAAATGAGAAATAATTGTTTCATCAGTTGGGTCTCCTCACGATTATATTTTGTTTGTCTTAAATCGCAAAAGCTATGTATTCGGATATGTCCACAGCGAGTATCGAACACAGATATTTTATAGTTATAAGATGTCAGTGTTACCGAGGTGGGCGAAAGTAATTAAAAGATTGGATGTCATGGTATATGAATGAGATAAAGCTAGTAAAAATTTTGTTACGATAAGTTTTTCATTAGAGTTTATTTTAGATAGTAGATAACGGGATTCAGCTTCTTCTTTAAGGCTATCTAGATCTTATAATCAAACGTTTTCAGAGCGTGATTAAATAGATTAATTTTTATTCTTACTATTTTGTCACAAAGTACTGTATGAACGTTTTTGTTTTGATTGTTTTCAGACAATAAAAAGTATACATTTTTATATTGGAATGAACAACATTTATTTTTTGCTATTTTAAGATAATTTTATAATTTTTTCAGACAAACTATTTGTAAATACGTTTTACTTTTTGTATATTCAAAAGATGTCGCTGTGGTAGTTTATGTTTGGAGCAATGCTTGTTAATTTATCATATCATATGTGAACGGTGTATCTTTATTTAGCCACAATCAAATGAAATTAAAACTAATAAGAAATTTAAGCTAAGTCTATACAATTTTTATATAAAATTATTACTGTTATAAAAATGTTTTATAACAGTCTACGACCAATTACTTATATTTTTCGAGAATGTCGTTTTATAAACAGAAGAACATTAATCGGTGAGTTATAAATATAGGTTAAGTCTGGCGGTTTCAGATTTTCCATTTCTGTTCGGTTTCAGTTTTTAATTAAAACAGGTTTTTTGTTTTTTTTTTGCATCGTAACCTAATATAGCATGTGAAAGTTAAGAACATCGGTTTCTACCTTCCCAAGTTCTTATTTCAAACGGTTTTGGTTTAACTTTAAATACTAGATCCATCCACTCACTTCTGCTAAAATAAAATCACACAAGTGAAATTATTTAAGATTTGATTAAGATGAAAGGGAGAAACTAATTATTATAAATACTATTTATTGATGATATGTAAAAGTACCTTACCATGGTTCATGTAGTGCTATGCTAATAGATATCTGTATAGTGGTTAGAAAATAAGAGAACAAGACAGCTTTTCAAGGGAAACTGTTATGATTTTGAATAAAATACATTATATCTTGTAACTAAACTTTAACGTAAAGTATCAATATCACTCCTTTCAAAACTTAAATGCTGCATCAAATTAAAAGTATAAACTCAAGTAATTTTGCTTTATACATTTCTCAGCTTATGGATAAATTGTCATGAGAGCTCACAAAATCAAGAAGAAATGAAATCAACCATTGCAAAAAGTTAACTATATTTGACAAAGCACTATTATAATACAAAAATTATGCTTGTGTATTGCCATGTCTGTTTTTCATGATATTTGATTTCTAACTGAGTTCCTAGTGTGGTAAAGGAACTTAAAGTTTTTAATTTCCGAGTGAGACTAAGCCATTCTAACAGATTAAAAACCAGAATACGTGATATGGTATAATACAAGCTGTTTGTAGATGTATAATGGGTGCAACATTACACTACTTCATTAATAGTATAAAACATAACTAAAAGTAGTACAAGTTTCAGTATAAATTATATATATCTGTATTTAAATTTTTTAATATACTGTGCTTCCACATTCCTATATAAAGAAAAAAAAATGTATTAAAATTTATTTCCGTTTTAACTTTCAAATGGAAATTATTCCAGAAACTTTGTATTTCTTAAATTAAGGTCATTTATACTGTTCTATAGACTGTTTAATTGTTTTTTAAGTAAAAGATAATGAATAGTAACCATTATATTTTACTGTTAAGACTTTGTTTTTGCTTTTTTAAATATATATATATATAAAACAATACAAAACTCACTTGGGAAAAAGTAGACATTTTTAACATTTTGCCTTGAATAATGAGATACCTATGTATATGTTAGAACAGCATGTTTGACAAATTTAATTGTTAATGTTCAATGCTGTGTGACTGTAGAATAACTTTCAAATCCCTGTGTATGTTAGAATAACAGATGTGACAAATTTATTTGTTAATGTTCAATGCGAAAGATATTCTACAGTCACACAACATTAAATAAATTTGTCACACCTGTTATTCTAACATATACAGGGATTTATGTAAAGTGAAGGGAATAACTAGATTACATTCACAAACTTCTTTTCAGTAGAAATATGCAAGGAATTCTTTTACTCGAATGCAGAAAATACTTGTGTTTACATTCTTGTTTTGTTGTAGAACTAACGAGAAAACATGTGACTTTTTTGTATAAACTAGGATTTTTTATTTAGTTTGTAAAGAATGAAAACACAAACTTACTTATGTATTCTTTTTTGTTATCTATTTATGAGATACATTAAAATATTTAGTAATACAATTTCTAAAAGTTTTTACCTGCAGTAGTTTTAATGTATTATCTGCTTGTGTAGTATAGACTTGAGCGATAATATTGTCCGACACAAGTCGATAATGTTTGTATCATCAAACAAGTAGAATGCCCCAGTTGTTTCATTAGCTTTTTAATATTAAGTTTACAATTCTTTAAAAATATTCTTTTATATAATTAGCATAAACGCACGGGTTGATATCTTACTGTGGAGTAACGAAGAAAAATAATTTCGCATGGATGATTTTAATTATCAGTTTATGAACTTAAATCAATAATTTGATTCCATATTGTCTTTGAGTTTTTAAGTGCAGTTTTTTTTTTGTTTGATAAATAGGTATGAAATTTTCCAGTGTTGCTGAAAGTGAACGAGATTATGAAGCAGTTGGTGAAAAAATTAGCTCTTCAGATGATATGGTAGTTGGACATTTATCAGTTGGGATGGGGGTTTGGATGATCGTGAGTTAAGCGTTGTTCATATGACTGTGTGTCAAAGTTCACTCTGTCAGTATCAAACTTTGTTAGTTACTGGTGGTGTGATGATTAGCTAGAATAACTGATTAATGTGGGGGTATATGTTGTTTTTATATTTTTATTATATCTTTGTTTCTTAACAAGAAAAACTGGATGTTTATGTCATAAATCAAACATAATTAAAACTGATATTTCATTTGGTTGACAGCCACCAAGCTAAGCTGGGCTTTTGTTAGATAATTGAAAACCTGAAACAATTCTTAGAATTTATTATGTCTGAAATGAAAGTTATGAAAATCATAATGAAAAATCAATGATTTTACTAAGATATTTGTGTGTAAAGTTTAAGCCATAAATTTTTTGTATGTTTCTTTGTTACAAATTTTTCGTGGCCAGTAAAATGTATAGAGAATTTGGGGAAAAAAATCAAAATCTACACAACTAACCGATTATAATCTATAATCATCGGTTCGAATGAACCAGTCATCGATCATAATTTCTCAACACTACTAGTGACTTTTTATTAGATCTACAAAGCTTAAAAAAAACTCTTTTGCTTTCTTGGAAGCCTTGTGTTTTTGTAGCAGTTTCTTATCAAAAGAACAAATCGGTTTAACATTTGTGTGGAAGAAGGTGTGTAAGGTTTAGTAATTCAGAACATCGGTGTGAACTCAGGTAAATTATCTTGCGTACATTCAGTGTATAGTGTTTGCTCGTTTCCATAATCTTCGTGTTGATTATTATCCTACTTATTTTATCTTCATACTAAACGCGTTATAATATTAATGAATAATCAGTGTCATTACACTCTATTTTCATATTCTGTTCTGTATAACTTACTTGTTTTGTTGTTAATACGATGTTTGCTAGTGAAACATGTCAGGTGTGATCTGTAATAATTGATTAAATCAAGTGGTAGAGAATATAACAAATTTAACAGATATAATTAAAATTTGAATATGGTGCTTTTAATACACTTAATGTGCAGTAGATTGTAAAAAAAAATCATATCGATTGTGAATTTTAACATTTCCTAATAAGATGAGTCTTAATTTTTAACTTTAAGTACGGTTACTGATATGTTTTATTAACCGTGAGGGAATTAAACACATGGGTGCAAATATTAAATTTTTGTAGCCAGTACGAGACATGAAGAATCCATACGAAAAAGAGAAGATAAAGTGCATATTATGTAAATATGGAATTCACGTAGACTACAAGGTAAGGTGTTTTGTAAATATGGTATTCACGTAGACTACAAGGTAAGGTGTTTTGTACGTAGACTACAAGGTAAGGTGTTCATGTAGACTACAAGGTAAGGTGTTCACGTAGACTACAAGGTAAGGTGTTTTGTAAATATGGAATTCACGTAGACTACAAGGTACGGTGTTATGTAAATATGGAATTCACGTAGAC